GTTGGATGCATGAGACAAGTGCTCAGGCCTTGTGCACTGGGAAGACCCAGAGGGATTGAGTAGAGAGGGAGGTGGGAGGGGGGATCAGGATGGGGAATACATGTAAATCCATGGCTGATTCATGTCAATGTATGACAAAGCCCACTACAATATTGTAAATTAATTAGCCTCCAACTAATAAAAATAAATGGGAAAAAAAAGAAAAGCTGAAATGATACATGGGTAGGTGGTTAAGATAGATTCTATGGCTTTTCTACAGTTATTGTTTGTGTTATTATTTTCATGCTGTATCTTCTTCCATCTTTTAATTTTGAACTTATTTGTGTCTTTGGATCTCAAGCATATTTCTAGTAGAAAGCATGCAGTTGTATCATTTTTATCCAGTGTGACACTCCATGCCTTTTAACTAAAATTTTTAATCCATTTATATTTTGCAATCAGTATTCCATATGTCTTACATATTTTTTATTTCTCTGTCTCCCATTTACTATCTTCTTTTTGGTTAAATATATAATAGCTTCCCAGGTGGTGCAGTGGTATAGTTTCCACCTGCCAATACAGGAGTTGCAAGAGACTCAGGTTTGATCCCTGGGTTGGGAAGATCCCCTGGACGAGGAAATGGCAACCAACTCCAGTATTGTTGCCTGGAAAATCCCATGGACAAAATGGGCTAAATTCCAAAAGATTGCAAAAATTGGACACAACTGAGCAATATATATATATACATATATATATATATACACATATATATATACACATATATATATACATATATTCAATTTTAATTCCCTTTTATTAACTATATTTATGAGACTTCTTTATTCTGGGGATTACAAGATAAACATTTAATTGGTTCTAATGTCATCACAATCTACTTCAGGTTACTATTGACTAATTCTGGCAAATATAGCAGTGTGGCAGAGCTGTGAGTTTTTATGCCCTGCTACAAATCAAACCTACCTTCTTTGGTAGCAAAGCTGCAAGTTATGAGGCCAGACCCAAGCTAATAAAACTATAGTTATCATCTATAACTATAGTTGTGCAAGGGGAAGTTTGGGATGGGAAGAACCACTAGCAAATAGGCCTCAGCCTCCCAAATTCTTACGTGAAAAAAATTTTTGGAAGTCTTCAAAAACAAATATTTCTCAATTTATTGTATACCTATGATCAGCAAGAAATGGTTGCTTTGTAAATTTTGTCCAGTTAGGGTTTGTTTTATAGGACGGAGGTGGGGAGATGATCAACAACCTCATCACAAAACCATAAAAGGAGGCCCAGGCTGCCCGTTTCATTCTTAACCTTAGGTTCATTTTTTTTTTTTAATCAAGATTGCCAAATATTTGTACTTGCTATTTACTGAAGGAATAAAAATCCACTGAATTAGATAAACCTGTTTCCTATTTCCCAGTATACAAATTAATTCACCTAGAGATGATGTCAGCAAGATGACAGGATAGGAGATGCTCTGTCTGTTTCCTCCCACAGAAACAGTAATTTGGCAGCCATCCATTACCATTCATGGAAGCTGTAGTATTCACCCTGATGGAACCCAAGACTAAGAAATGCCATTTTGATAAGGCAAGACCAAGCACAGGTGGAAGCTTGTTGACCATGGTTCTAGCTACAGACCCAGAAGAAGCCCAGGTCCCCTGCAGACTTGTCTACAGTCCCATTTAGCCTTGGTTCTGCCAACATTACCATTTCCCAAGCAACCTGGGACAAGCTATGCCTACCCATGCCTTGGATAATGGACATGCTGATTTTGATCCTAGCTATGTACCATGAAGAAGCCCATCTGTAGACCTTCTAACAGGCTCTCATGAGCAGATCTGTCTGTGAACTCAATTTAAAGTATCTTTTCTGACAACACTGGTATGAAACTAGAAATCAATTACATGAGGAAAATGGGAACATTTATTCATATGTGGAAATTAATTAAGATGTCCCTGAATAACTAATAGATAAAAAGAATTCAAACGGTAAATCAAAAAGTATCTTGAGACAAGTGAAAATGGAAACACAATACACTAAAATGTATGGTATTCAGCAAAAAACAGTTCGTAGAGGAAAACTTGTTATGATAAATGCCTAAATTTAGGGGGGGAAAGATGTCAAATAAACAACTTTACATAGTTTTAGTCTAACTTTCTACTAGAAAAGGAAGAGCAAACTCAGCTCAAAGTTAGCAAAAGGAAGAAAATAATAAAGATTAGAGAAAAATAAGTGAAAAAGAGACTAGAAAGATAATAGAAGGGATCAATGAAAGTAGGAGTTGGTCTTTCATTTAAATAAAAGAAAAAAAAGCTGACAAAGCTTTAGCTGGACTATGCAGCCCATGACCCAGCTCTAACTCTGCTCAGCCACAGTCCAAAAGTAACCCTGCCTGCTCAGGAATAGGCAGAACACACATCCATCTGTGACCCTGGAGGCAAAATGGGACTATATCAAGCTAAAAGTCTTCTGCACAGTGAGGGAAATGCCAGCAAAATGTAAAGGCCACCTATGGAATAGGAGAAAATATTTGCAAGTGTGATAAAGAGTTAATATTTAAATAATATAAATAACATATACAGCTCAATAGAAAAAAAATAATCCAATTAAAAATAGGCAAAGAACTTGAATAGATATTTCTCAAGAGAAGAGACACAGATAACTGGAAAACAAAATGGCCAGGAGCTACCTGAAAAGGTGTTTTAAATCACTAATCATCGAGAAAACACAAATCAAAACCTCACACCTGTTATGATGACTTTTACCAAAAGACAAGAGATAGCAAGACTTCACAAGAGAACCCTAGTAGACTGCTGATGAGAGTGTATCAGTGTACAGTTGTTATGAAAGTATGAAAATAAGGAAGTATGGAAAAGTCCTTACAATTTTGTTAAAATAAAAGCAAAAAATCATTCATACGAATGATTCAGCAACCTCACTCTGGATGTATATCCTTAAGACATGCTATCAGGATCTCCAAGACATATCTGCACTCCCATGTTCATTGTAGCATTATTTAACACTAGTCAAAAAGAAAACAACTAAGTGTCTGTTGACAGTTAAATGGATAAAGAGGATATAAGATGTATGTATTCATATATCTACATTTATGCTGTTGTTGTTCAGTCATTAAGTCGTGTCCAACTCTCTTTGACCTCATTGACTATAGCTTGCCAGGCTCCTCTGTTCTCCACTATCTCCTAGAGTTTGCTCGAATTCATGTCCATTGAATTCGTAATGCCATCTAACCATCTCATTCTCTGCCACCCCCTTCTCCTTTGGCCTTCAATCTTTCCCAGCATCAGGGTCTTTTCCAATGAGTAGGCTATTTGCATCAGGTGGCCAAATTGGAGCTTCAGCTTTAACATCAGCCCTTCTAATGAATATTCAGGGTTGACTTCCTTTAGGATTAATGGGTTTGATCTTCTTGCAGTCCAAGGGACTCTCAAGAGTCTTCTCCAGCAATACGATTTGAAAGCATCAGTTCTTCAGTGCTCAGCCTTCCTTATCGTCCAACTCTTACATCTGTACATGACTGCTGGAAAAACCATAGCTTTGACTATACCGACATTTGTCTGTAAAATGATGTCTTTGCTTTCTAATACACTGTCTAGATGATGCTGAAAAGTGCTGCACTCAATACGTCAGCAAATTTGGAAAACTCAGCAGTGGCCATAGGACTGGAAAAGGTTGGTTTTCATTTCAATCCCAAAGAAGGACAATGACAAACTCTACATCTACATCTATACCTATATTCCAAAAGAAGGAAATCTTGCTGTGGCAACAGCATGACTGAACCTGGAGGACACTACACCAAATAAAAGAAGCCAGACAGAGAAAGACAGATATTGCATGATCTCACTCATAAATGAAATCTAAAACATTAAATCTCTTAGAAGCAGAGGGTAGAGTGAAGACTGCCAGGAATTGGGAATTGGGAAAATAGGTAAATGTTGGCCACAGGGTACAGATGTTCAGTTATACGATGATTACATTTTGGGAATCTAATGTATAGCCAGACAACTATAGTGAATGATAATGTATTGTATACTTGGAATTTCCCGAGAACAGATCTTAAGTGTTCTCACCACACACGTGAAAATATTAACTATATAATGTTATGGATGTGTTGATTAACTTTATTGTGATAATTACTTCACAATGTATACATATATTAAATCATCACTTCTACATCTTAAATATATTCAATTTTTATGTATCAGTTATGCCTTAATAAACTGGACCAAAGTTTGTCCAGTTTGTCTGATTTAGGTGAAAATAATTACTTTCTAAATATAGTAATTTATTGTTTTATGCATATTTACTATAATTAAGTAACTAGGTTAAAATAATCAAGTAATAAAGACCTCTTCCTGGTTCTTGTGACATTTTTGGCATTCTTTTATGGCATATATTAAGTTTCTGATTAGGTTTAAAAACATATTTCCTATTCTCAAATTAAATGTGATTTTAAAAAGAATAGTCAAAACATTTTTGGTCTGTACATCTGTGTCTCTTTTTCTGTTTTGCATAGAGGGTTATTATTACCATCTTTCTAAATTCCATATATATGTGTTAGTATACTGTATTGGTCTTTATCTTTCTGGCTTACTTCACTCTGTATAATGGGCTCCAGTTTCATCCATCTCATTAGAACTGATTCAAATGAATTCTTTTTAATGGCTGAGTAATATTCCATTGTGTATATGCACCACAGCTTCCTTATCCATTCGTCTGCTGATGAGCATCTAGGTTGCTTCCATGTCCTGTCTATTATAAACAGTGCTGCGATGAACATTGGAGTGCTGGAATATCTGCAGTAAAGTATTTCAGCATTAAGTGGGAATATATAATCTTTTTACTCTCAACCAAAAAAGTGAGTCTGAACAAGACCAGAAACGACATTTGCAACATTTCATCAAAGCAGTGAGAAAATATTTTTATTTTAAAAAATCACTGAAATTGTTTTACTGGGAAAAAACATAATTAAATTTCTCAAACATATTTACCTGAGAATATAGGAGGGTGTTGCCTTTAATGAGAATTCACTACATATTTCCAGTGATCTTTGTGCAAGAAAAGGAGAAACAAATTAGGAAAAGGGTAAATTTAAAAGGTGCCAGTTGATAGGAAAAATAGTCTCTCTCTCGATATAAGGCAAAGTCTTTGCAAAGATTTATTACATTCATAAGAATCATCTCTGTAGGGACACCTGATCACAAGAGTCAAAGTATGTGAGAATAACAATGATAACTCAAAAGGAATTCAAACAAATTTAGCATCAAACACATCTAATGCAGATGGAAAGGAGGCCAGCCATTGTGCTGTGTTTATTAACACACATAAATGCATCCATCAAGGATGACATTCGGTCTCCAAGGCAAGCCTGTGGGACAACCAGCACTTTGTGGCACATTTCATCCAGGGAGGGATTGGCAGTGACCTCCCACCTTCGGAAACTCTGCCTAGGGCCACAGGAAAGTCCTTAGCAGGCATGGAGGAGGTAATCTGAGGCTGCCGTTAGCACTGCAATGAGCAGTAATTACCTGGAGACTCAGCAGAACGGTAGAGTTTAAAGAAGCCTCCACAAATGACTAAGTTTTTCTTAGAGAATTTCTCAAGCCCTGGAAAAAAGGTAGGCTATTATATGTAAACATCACTGAGGGTGTTCTCGTGTGAGAGTGTAGAGTGAAATGTTTGTGTGGTGGGAACATGAAGGAGCTGCAAGACAGGACCCAAACATGAGTGAAATGATGAAAGGAGGCTTTGCACTGGCAGCCCAGCCCGGGTGATGGAGAGGAGTCTGGGGACCCTTAAGAAAGGCATGTAAATAGAACTCCCAGAAAAGTGTTTAAAATAAAGAGCAAGGCGAGAACTTCAGTGAAACATCCAGAAATTTCAGGAGGGAATTAGGTTACACTTCAAAAATAAATGTCAGAAAGGTGGAGGTGCCAGAAGAATAAGATCAGCTCTAAGGGGAAAAAAAAAAAAACCCTTGTGCAGTGATGATGGTGAACCCGGAAGTTTAAAAGGGATACTTCTGGTAAACAGCTGCTGACCAGATGTCCCAACGCACATGGCAGATAATAACACGCACCCTTCTTCTGTAGGTGTCCCCCCACTCCAGCCAAGGAACCCAGTCAGAACTGAAACTCTCCGCAGAAGGCTCCCCAACCTCAAATTTCAGAGTGTCTAATCCTGCCAGTTTTTCACTTGGGAATGTGTTATTCCTCCTCAGTGAGGAGCTTCCGGAAAACTCAGCACACTCTGTTCCCACATATATGACTCACGTCGGGCATAGTGAGGGGAGCCAGGTCTCCGCAGGCTACAACTGGGCTCCCAAGGGTGGCCTTGGCCTGCCTCCCGGGGGAGGTGCCAGTGCCCGGCTGCTGCCCAGCTTCCAGAGAGGAATCGGTTCTCGGTGGAGGTAGCTATTGTTGGCCAAAGATTCTGGGGCGTATCTCATCACCGCGTCACAGTGGTGGTGGCTCTTGTCAGCAGGGCCTTCTGCTGACATGCTCCTGTCAGCACTATTCCCAGGGCCCACCCTTGGGCCCTGAGGCTCTTGCTGACACTCAAGTGTATGTGCTAAGTTGCTCCTGCCGTGTCCGACTCTTTGCCACCCTGTGGACTGTAGCCAGCCAGACTCCTCTGTCCATGGGATTCTCCAGGCAGGAACACTATAGTGAATTGCCATGTCCTCCTCCAGGAGATCTTCCCCACCCAGGGGTGGAACCTGTGTCTCTTGTCTCCTGCGTTGGCAAGAGGATTCTTTACCGTTAGCGCCACCTGGGGGAGAGTTCAGCACCACCTCCGATTTCTCCCCACAGCAGGGACTTGCTGAGCATTTCAGCAGGAGTCACTATACCCCGTCTATAAACTAGCTTGTGAACAACTTCTACAGATGTGATGAGGTGCAGTCTTAAATGACACTGCACACATCATTTCCCTCATTTAATTGCAGAGTCACCAATTCTCTGTCTGCTGGGCACAAGTACACATCTTCACAAAGGTGAAGGAGAAGGAACCCATCACTCAGGCCAGTGTCTACACTTTTCAAGAGATTCAGATCAGGTGTGGAGATGGCTAGTCATGAATCTTAATCTAGCCTGCACCATTTATTAACTGTGTAACTTCCTTAGCTACCTTACTTGTTAATTTGCCTAACTGAGCCTTAGTTTCCTCTCCTAAAAATCTTCTCTCTGACAAAAGGGGCTGTAAGGATTAAATTAAATTCATTCAATGATTTTACAGCACTTAGTTTAGTTTCTGGTTTGCCTTCCCTGGTGGCTCAGATGGTGAAGAATCTGCCTGCAATGCAGGAGACCTGGGTTCAATCCCTGGGTCAGGAAGAGACCCTGGACAAGGAAATGGCTACCCACTCCAGTATCCTTGCCTAGAGAATTCCATGGACAGAGGAGCCTGGAGGGCTACAGCCTGTGGGGTCACAAAAGAGTCGAACATGACTGAGTGACTAACACGGTCTTCTGGTTATATGCTATTTTCCCTAATAAAAGGAAATGAACCCCAGCATACAATAATTCCCCAATGTGGTGATTCACATATTCCCTGGGACTAGAGATTTCTTGGCAAAGGTGGAGTATCACTGCAAGGAGTCCCATCTCCTCGGAGCTGGGTCGAGTGCATCGACAGCAAGGAGGAAGTTTGGGCAGCCCTGATAAGCCCCATTTGACCACATCACGTGGGAGCCAGGGAAGCCCAGCTTGGGTCTGAATTACATGTGAATGCAGGATGGATTGTGGAAGTGTCTCAGGAGATGAGGCAGCCCTCTAGGAGATGCAGGTGATGAGTCTGCAGGGGAGAGAGGCAAGGAGCACTGTGAGCAGAACAGAGGGAACAGAGCAGGGGCTTCTGTCTGATCGCTAATGATACCGACCTTTGTAGAATCCGTCATCGGCATTAATGGAAGGGAATTCCACTGGGCACTTAACCTGTCTCCACTAAGGTGGCTCAGACACGTCTGAGCATGACTGGTGAATTTGATGAAGAAGTATATAGAGACAATTGGTGATCCACTCAAAACCATCAATGCTGATTGTGCGTCTCTAATGCACTAGGGGCTGAACAGAACCCTACATATGGAGATGTAAACAGATATTGCTGTGTAGGAAGAAGGAAGCAGACAGAGGAGGCTGTGCTGGGATTGAAGGCTTAGCTGAAGGCTGACTGGGCTGTCCCACAGTCACGTGACTTGGACTTGGAGAGGGATATGGGCCTTTCTTCCTGCAAGATGCACAAGTCACAGCTTGCCTTTAGCTCCTAAGGGCTCCAAGGAATACTGTGTTGGCTGCTGACTGTGAACAGAGAGGTTCTCAGAGTATTTCAGCTGTGACTAGCTGAAGAGCAGAATCTGTGGACAAAGTCAAGAGATTTGGGAATAGGAAAACAAGAGGAGGGAAAAGGAAATAGCAGGCACCAAGGGGCAGCTGACAGAACACACATAAGATATGAAGATTCTCAAACATAAATGAGCTGGGCTCTGCCTTTGCCAGGGTTTGGAAAACTGCGGTGAGAGGCAAGGTCCATATCCAGGGAAACCTGCAAGTGATGCTGTTCTATTACAGGAGCATGAGCCCACACATGGCTCAGGAAATAACCCCAGCAATGGTGATAACAACCACAGCAAGGGGTGTGAAGCAGTCTCTCTGCTGACCCATACAAGATAATGGCTCTTTCGGCAATGTGGAGTGTGAGGGGACAGACACTGTGAGGTGTTGGCACGTAGGACTGTTGGAGAAATTGATGCTGATTGCTCTGTCAGTCAGAGGGCAGAGGGTCATGTTGCTCTGGGTGTGAATTCTTCTCCCATTCATACCTATAGGGTCTGCAACCCTCCTTATCTTCCTTCACTCTGGCGTGACCTATCTATGCCCATTTTCAGTCTTACCTCTTTTATTTTAATTTATAAAATAATATTATCATTTACTTCCTAGGATATACATTTTAAAACCTGCTAACACTGAGCAAGCTAAGCCCTGACTCAGGTAGCATCTAAACACATGGCTGGGGCAACTTACATAAACCAGTGCTACTCTCATATAGGAGTCACTTGGTGCATGCGTGCTAAATCGCTTCAGTCGTGTCTGATTCTTTGTGACCCTACAGACTGCAGTCAGCCAGGCTTCTCTGGCCATGGGACTTTCCAGAAGTCACCTGGAGACTTTGTTGAAATGTTGATGCTGATTTAATAGTTTTGGAAAGGAGCCTATACACAGTTCTTACATGTTCCCAGGTAATGCTGTTGCTGTTGCTCGCGGATGACCCTTTGCATAGTGGGGATTTGAACTCTGAGCTGCAGTTTCCACATCTGTAAAATGGAGAAATAATGGTTGGATTGTTATGAAGATTGGTAAGATGATGCATTTAGCACAGTGCCTGGCAACTGTTAGATACTTGATACTTGATAACAAGTGTTTTAGTATGTATATTAGTATATTTAATACATATATTAGTTGCATTTTATGGGAAAGCCCACAGAGGCATTTTATGTGACTTTCTTGTGAATGTGTATGGGTGTTCTGAAACAAATATCTTATTGCAAATTTTCTATTTTATGTTTCTGAACTTTGAAGTAATTCCTTTAAGTGGTTAATTTTGGTTGTTTATGTAGTCTCTCCAGTGTAGTGAATAAATTTATTATTATTGGTAGTAATAATATATTTACCTTCAACATAGTATTGTATATTAATTCTCCAAGTAGTCAGATCTCTGGACAAGCTACAAAGAAATCAGTTCTTTATTCATCCCCGGTGGCCTTCCCCTTATTCTGATTTCGTTAGCATGTGAAAATGTTTATTCTGACTTACTTTCTAAAGTTACCTTTTAAGTATGAAATAACTTAATTATAGATCCCCCAGTAGTAGTAACATTCTGCTATGAGATTTATGTCTTAAAAAAAAAAAAAAAATCAAACATTTAAAATGTACCTGTAAGCTTATATGTGATAATTACTTTGATTCCTTTTAAGGGATTGCTCTTTGAATTTAATACATCAGATTTTGTGATGTATTAAATTAGGGGATCCTCTGTGAGTATTAGCTACTTACAAATTCTGTTTTATAAAATATTTTGCTGATATTTAGAATATTGATCTCCACTTTTTCCACAGAACCTAACACATTCAAGGGATTTTGCAGCTGCAGAGAAAAGAAGAAATGCCATATATGACTATTTTTCCCATAGCATTTCTAAGCATGAGGGTATATTAGAATAAACTGATTATTTTTTAGTCCAAAGATTCTTGTCTTCTGCATGATGCTTGAAGAGTTAATGTTTTAGTTTGCGGAGAACAAGTTATTCATTATCAACCTAGAATGATTACTAACATCCACTGAGCTCTCATCCAATAGATTTCAACACTGGCTGCACATTAGAATCACCTGTGGAGCTTTAACAATACCACTAGCCATGTTTTACCCCAACTGGTAGAATTAAAATCTCTGAGGCTCAGTTCAGTTCAGTCAGTCATATCTGACTCTTTGAGACCCCGCAGACTGCAGCACATCAGGCTTACCTATCCATCATCAACTCCTAGAGCTTGCTCAAACTCATGCCCACCAAGTCGGTGATGCCATCCAACCATCTTATCCTCTTTTGTCCCCTTCTCTGCCTGTCTTCAATCTTTCCCAGCATCAGGGTCTTTTCTAGTGAGTCAGTTGTTTGTACTAGGTGGCGAAAGTATTGGAGCATCGGCTTCAGCATCAGTCCTTTCAATGAATATTCAGGACTGATTTCATTTAGGACTGATTAGTTCGATTTCCTTGCAGTCCAACAGATTCTCGAGAGTCTTCTCCAACACCACAGTTCAAAAACATCAATTCTGCACTGCTCAACTTTCATTATGATCCAACTCTAACATCATACATGACTACTGGAAAAACCATAGCTTTGAGTAGATGGACTTTTGTCAGCAAAGTAACGTCTCTGCTTTTTAATATGCTGTCTAGGTTGGTCATAGCTTTTCTTCCAAGGAGCAAGCGTCTTTTAATTTCATGGCTACAGTCACCATCTGCAGTGATTTTGGAGCCTCCCAAAATAAAGTCTGTCACCGTTTCCATTGATTCCCCATTTATTTGCCATGAAATGATGGGACCGGATGCCATGATCTTCATTTTTTGAATGTTGAGTTTTAAGCCAGCATTTTCACTCTTCTCTTTTACTTTCATCAAAGGGCTCTTTAGTTCCTCTTTGCTTTCTGCCATGAGGGTAGTGTCATCTGTATATCTGAGGTTATTGATATTTCTCCTGGCAATCTTTATTCCAGCTTGTGCTTCATGCAGTCTGGCATTTCGTGTGATGTACTATGCATATAAGTTAAATAAGCAAGATGACAATATACAACCTTGACATACTCCTTTCCCAATTTTGAACCAGTCCATTGTTCCATGCCCAGTTCTCACTGTTAC